ACCACCAAACGAAGGTGGTGATGAGAAAGTCAAATGATGAACCAAAGCCCATCACAAGCAGCTTTTAAATAATAACATATATAGAAGGTTCACAGTGTCATTCACACAAACACCAAACACCATCATGGTAACACACATGAAACTGAAATAATGCAATAAACATCAATTTAACAACATTAGGTGTAACACACAACCCTAATATACAAAACTGATAAGAAGAAACATAGTTATTTCAACAAAAAAACATAAAATTTGAAATGTAACGCAGGGAAATCTGGGAATGTCAATTTACGGTTATTCACTGTAAATTATACGGTCTTTTTCACTTCCAAAAACGGTATACTACCGTAAAATGAATGTCCAATACATTTAATGTCCAATACAGTTTTTCACCGTATATAGTAGGGGAATTTAACGTTAACGGTTTAACAGGATTTTACTGTAGCATTTTTACAGTCTTTTACCGTTAAATTCACGGTCATTTTTTACAGTGTATGTTTGCTACATTCGCTTCCGGTAAACTCCCGTAATTTGTATGGCCCACCTCATTATACGAATAATCACGTCAACAAATTCACAGGTTGTTGCCAGATCTTGTATGAAACGCATCCTTCTCACACAATCGACACATATAAATTTCAACCGATTTATCCCCTCAACTTGGCAACCTACAACCCAGTGATGCTATTGATATCTGCGCAGGTAGTACTGCGGGAGGCTGGTAGAAATGGGAGAAGAATACTCAGGTGGTGCTCCGGTGAAAAAAACAATGTAAATTGAGATATAGCTTACACTTCAAAAGGCTATGGTTTAATTGATTAAAAATGAACGCTGCAAGTCAGCTGCAGCACTGCTTTGCTTACTGCGGTTACCGGGGAAACGGCTATATTCCTGGCGAAAAGCGCCACCTGCTGGCAGAGCATGAATTTGTATTTTTCAATGAACCCTTACTCTCTATGTTTAGAGTAGACCAAAAACAAAAACGACCCTTATTTTTACGCAGAAAACAAGCAGTTGTGAACCGGTGGATCGACAAGAAGATAATGAATTACAAAACTCTAAAGATAAAGCCTACGCTAAGATTTTTATTTTTATTTAGTCATTTAGCAGACACTTTTATAAAAAAGCGACTTACAAATGAGGATAACAGAAGCAATCAATTGTGGTATTAAAACAACTAAAAACAGACCCAAAACTAAAAGCTAAAACTTTACAAATACTACTTATACACATTTTAAAAATAAAGAAATTAAATAAAAATGACAAATGACAAAAACTTAACGTTTAAATGAAAAACAAAAAATAAAGCTAAAAACAATTCAAAATATTAAAGAACAAAAGGTATGAGTATAATAATGATTCTAACATAACACCAAAAAAACAACTACATATATGTGTATGTACAGCCATACACACACACATACATATATATATATATATACATACACATTTATAAATTCAATATATATCTATATTATTTCATTTCCATTTAGTTTGTTGAAGTATTAAAATAACTCAAATTAAATCAAACTAAAACGTAATAAAAGACCTATACAGACATAATAAATTCAGACATAATTTAACTAAAATTCAAATAAATAACAAATACAAATCTAACTACATTAGTTTATCAGTAATCCTAAAAAAATAACACTGAGCCAAACACACATGCTAAAATAACAACAACTTACTTAGCTACACATAGTAAGAAATGGTTATAAAGACTGAAACAGAAGTGAAACAAGTAGTAGGATATATTTACATGTTAGTAAATGAATATAATTGTTTAAATTGATATAATAAATTAATAATAATATAATAATTTATACTTCTGACTCCGCCCCACCACGGTCTCCCGTATTTTGATATCCGGATGTTGACAGGTCTTGCACTATATAATTATTATTAGAAATTTGAATAAAAACATATATATTATAAAAATATATTTTGATTGCATCATTGTATTATGATACTAAATATTATTTTACTATCTTATGAAGAAAATAATGTATAATTTTTTTTATCATATTTTATATAAAACATATTCAAAGTGGACATTAATTCCATTCAGTTCAAATGTATTTGTATAGCGCTATACAGACTGTTTCAAAGCAGCTTCACAGAAACAGTTATGCAGAACTTTTTATTTTTCATTTTGTCAAGGAATTACATACAAATACACGTAATAAAACAAAAATGTTATACAAAAAAACAATGAAAAACAAAAGATGACAAGGAGACACAAGAATGCATACATTACCGCTACTGAAACAATAACATACAAACATCAATATACAGTGAAAGCTTTTAAATACATGTATATTTCTTCATAATATTTGATAAATCTTTGTGATTTTTTTGTTATTTATATAACTACACTGTAAAAAATGACCGTGAATTTAACGGTAAAAGACTGTAAAAATGCTACAGTAAAAACCTGTTAAATGGTTAACGGTAAATTCCCCTACTATATACGGTGAAAAACTGTATTGTACATTACATGCATTGGACATAAATTTTACGGTAGTATACCATTTTTGGAAGTGAAAAATACTGTATAATTTACAGTGAATAACCGTAAATTGACATTCCCAGAATTCCCTGCATTACATTTCAAATTTGATGTTTTTTTGTTGAAATAACTATGTTTCTTCTTAGTTTTTTCTTATCAGTTTTGTATATTAGGGTTGTGTGTTACATGTACAATGAATGTTTATTGCATTATTTCAGTTTCATGTGTGTTACCATGATGGTGTTTGGTGTTTGTGTGAATGACACTGTGCACCTTCTATATATGTTATTATTTAAAAGCTGCTTGTGATGGGCTTTGGTTCATCATGTGACTTTCTCATCACCTCCTGCATTTGGTGGTTATCAGTGTATTACAAAGGTACAAAACAGATTTCAGTACTTCAGTAGGTTGGTATATTAACATTATATCAGTTAATGAAATTACATTATTTAACTGTAAATTTAAGTTAAAACCGTAAAAACCTAAAACGTTGCTACCGTATTTTTTACGATAAAACTCCGGCAACCACCGCTGCCGTTTTTTTACCGTAAATTTTACGGAATTTTTTTTTACAGTGTAAGAGAATTAAGAAGTGATATTAATTCAGTTTTAAAATGGGGATAGGATGGAATATTATTTGCAAACTTTTGTTTATGAATAAAGAATGTGCCATATAAAATAAAGAAGTTAACAATATACCCTAGGGGTCTATTTTTTATCATCGATATAATCAAAAAGAATGTCTTTTAGACTGAAAGAATGGCCAGTCGAATATATAGGAGCCAAGGTCAGACCCAAAATTGCTTGGATATTGGGCAATCATAAAACAAATGTGCAAATGTCTCTTCTGATTGCTTACAAAAAGCACATGAACTGTCAATGTCCAGATATTTAGAAATATTAGAGTTTACAGGATATATTTCATGTAACATTTTGAAATGCATTTCTTTGGCTTTATTGGAAACACAGTATTTTCCAGGTAGTTATGCAGAACTTGACATGTCTAAACAGTGTCATTTCCTCCATGAGCTTGTGTTGGTATCTCACAGCCCGCAGCCCGTGGCCCTCGCATGTTCTCGCCCTCAGCGTGTGGTGGAGTCACCGTGAACACACATTTCCGGGTTCTTCATGACCGCTCCCATTTTGTCTGTGTGTGTGATTTGTGCTTCGAGCATGCGATTAGGTGACTCCTGTTCCTCCTCCTACAACTACAACTTTAATGCACCCAAAATGGTGTTTGAGTGTCAGCCCTCTCTCTTCCTCCTCCGGTTGGTGGTGTTGTTGTAAAGCCCTGCCAGCCTGTCAGCTGATCCCGCATGTTTCACCCCCCAGACTACTCAAAGAAAAAGAGCCTATTTACATTCACTAAGCAGCATAACAGACCTAGAGCGATATAATAATTCATTACGAATCATATCGCGCATTGATTTTTAACGTATTCGCTTTAAAGTGAAACGCGCGCTTATTAATCAAATAATCTAGACAGAAGATTTGAAGATATGCATTGCTCTGAGCGCTGATATTTGACATATATGGTAACCCGTAAATATATGAGTAGTGCTTTAAAAAAAAAAAAATCTATAAATAAAAGCTAGCTTACAAAAATATAACCTGCATCGTTTTAACAGTTTAATTCGATATTATTGCTCGAACAAGAGCAATAAATAAAAGCTAGGCTATAATATAACCCGTTTGAATGCACTGATCTAGCTCAATCATTAATAATTAATGATCTTTAAAAAAAAATGTAAAACTAACATCATTTTAACAGATCTTGATCTGAATTATATTAATATGCAACACTCAGAGATTCATATTTTAATACACGTGCATTTATTTATATTTAGGTTCATGCTTAAAAAAAAGAGCTTACTAAATTAAATGCAATTGTGCAATAACCTTATACTTATTTATCGCCCTAAATCCTAGTACAGCCCTACAACTTGATTTTATTGTATTCCTATTCTATCTATAGCACACCTGTACATACAATTTATTCTTTTTTTGTGGTTTATATTTATGCATGTGTATTTTATTCACATCTTATTTGTTTTATCTGTGTGTTGTTGTTGTCTCCGTGTACTGGAAGCTTGTGACCCTATAACAAATTCCTTGCATGTGCAAACATACTTGGCAATAAAGCTCTTTCTGATTCTGATTCTTCTAAATGGACACGCACGGACCATATTAGATCTAGATCAATGTTTTATTAAGATATGCATTATGCTTTCATTTATATTTAGGTGCATGAGTCGTGAAACAACGATATAGCTATTTAAGTGCAATATATAAAAACACTATATTTAACGCATCCAGTGCATTTAGGATCTGCACGGTGTGTTAGATATTTAAATGCATCCATTACAAGAGCCTTTCTGTCATGCAATCTGAATGAAACTGATGTTAGGAGAACACGGTCGATGGTCGGATGCTGTTGCAATACTCCTTTGTTTACATGCAAGTCCTGCTCGGCGGAAGGAGGCTTTTTGGTAGTGCAGCGCTGTGTGTGATTCCTACCAGCTGTTTCCCGCCTTGAAAGACATCCGATCAGCTGCAAACACACACATGCAGAAGGAGGGAGGGAACGAGCGCGAGCGCGAGCTCCACACACACTACGAGGGAACCCCATCAGCTGGAAGAGTAGAGCAACCTTACAACTCAACGCTCATGCCCGAAATCAGCAGGACACGCACAGGACTGCTTCTTAAATCAGAAAGAGTTTGTTTTTAAACCGATAAAGTACAAGAAGAATCGAGGAGCCAGGGCTGGAGAGAAGCGGGGAAGCATGGAGTATTTCATGGTGCCAGCTCAGAAGGTGCCCTCCTTGCAACATTTCAGGAAAACTGAGAAAGAAGTCATAGGGGGCTTGTGCAGGTACGTGAGACCCTCTTTTAACAAATGCGCACGCATATGTTCGCGATTCTTTCATCGCGCGCCAGCAGCAGCAGCAGCAGCGAGCGCTACTACTGGAGTAGCGTTAACGTGCGTGCGGGATTTCTGTGTTATTGTGTACATGCGCTTATCCAGTGGCTTGAGACAGGACGGATCCCATGCGAGACTCGGTTTTCTACATTTAAAACATCTCGCGGGGGTCTATGGAAGCCCCTTGGCTTGTCAGGTCAGTGTAACCTATGAAATATCTCCGCGAAATCGATGCATTTTGTGTCTAACAAACACAAACCACGTGGTTGCATGCGCGCACACACACACACACACACCACGCTGCTGGTCTCTCGCGTGTATTTAATATCACAAACCGTGCGTATTTCGTCCCACCAGTAAATGTGTCACTATATAGAGGGGTTTGTTGGTTAGAAGTGTGTTTGGGCTGAAGTTCGCGTGTTTTCGGGGCTCAAGTTATTGTGGGCAGTGCGGCCATGCTTGTGGCTCGTGCATTTGGCGTCGTCTGTTTCTCATCGCAATCAACTATTAAAAGTCTCCTGACTACCTTTGCACACGAGTCCCCCCGATATATGAGGCTGAAATGGGCGTTAAGCGCGAGAAATCTCGCCGCGCGTGCTGCGGGAGAGAGATCAGATGATATTTGGACTGCGTCGGTGCTGCCGCATGGACGGAGGAAACGCGAGAGGCGCATTGTTGTAATGGCGGACCGTATCACCCGTGAACACGGTGCTTTTTATTTAGCCCAGCGAGCGTGTTGATTATCTCGCTCGATATTACAGTTTCGGCCCATTGTGAATGGAATATGAGTTTTTTAATGGTTGGTAAAATAATAACTAGTGTTATTTTAATAAGGGGGTGTGTATGCCGTTGAAGGAAGGCCCCGTCAATGCGTCTGCGATCCATTCTCAGAAAGGGGGCGGGGCCAGTGAGCCGATTAGCGCAGGTTGTTCTGGGAATTGTAGTTTTCGCCCAAAGTAAATCGCATACAAATGATGCGTCTGGTTTCAAGTTATGGTGTGCTGTTATTCCCACTATGGACACTTTGCAGATTTACAGGTTATACCATGGTTCTTCAGTGTATCAGTTGAAGTACTCTAAAGAACGTCGAATAACATGGTTTTACAATTTTATAAAACACCAAGGTAGCACGTTGTTTTGGTACGTTATATATATTTATATATATTTATTCTGTTTTTCCTTTTAGGATAAAACCAAGATTTAAGTTGCCAGTGTTTTGAAAATGCAGAAAGCAAAGGCAATTCTTCCTTCTCTTATAGATTTAATATAGTTATTAAAGTCCAGTTTAAACTAAAGGATGCAAATTATTATTATTATTATTTTTATAGCAGTTAATTTAATTCATGTTTTTTGAGTAGGTTGCCAGTGTTTTGAAAATGCAGAAAGCAAAGGCAATTCTTCCTTCTCTTATAGATTTAATATAGTTATTAAAGTCCAGTTTAAACTAAAGGATGCTAATTATTATTATTATTTTTATAGCAGTTAATTTAATTCATGTTTTTTGAGTAAAATCACTCAGGCATATGACCAGTGCTCAGTAATATTTTATCAGTCTTGTCATATCATTACAAGCTTGTACTTTGGCCTGTTGTCAACTTGAATCCGTCTAATTAGTTAAAATTATTATTATTATTATTAGAACATTATTTTTTATGTGTTATTTTTATTGTTATTGTTGTTATTAGTGTAATTAAATATTACTTTTATTCTTATCGTTTAATTATTATTATTATTAAAACATTACTATTATTATTTGTATATTATTTAAAAATTATTATTGTTTTAAAATAATATTTTAAATTAAGAAATTATTTATTTAAAATTTGTTATGGGTTCATTCATATTTAATATAAAACATATGTAGTACTATTTACTATTTTAAATATTATATTTTTTATTTTTTTAAGGCAGCTTTAGTTACACACAAGCAAAGTCTCTCACCCCATGCTGAAATTTGAACACTCATTTGACCATTTTATTTTCATGCATAAAAGAAGCTGGGTCATATTCAATGCATATGGCTGGAAACGGCTGATCTGAGCGTATCTCTGGTTCCACAGTTGGCTCTAGTTGTGATTTTGGCACTGGATCTGTTTGCTGGGTTTAGAGCCGCTTGGACGCAAGTAGGCGAGCAGGGAAACCTCTCTCGCTCCCCTCACAATTGTTCCCCGTGTTTGTCCTCATGCAGCTGAGGCACTGCTGATAAGAGAGGCTTTCCAGAGATACCCCGTGAGATGCCCAGACAGGGAGGAAGTTCAATTAGGGTTTGATTTCCTCGGCCAAAGCATGCATGTGATCGTGCGAGGCAGAGATGTCCAGGGGCTCGAATTTAGAGACAATGGGCTTGAATGAGCATTCAGGAAAGTCAAAATGTTCTACTTCGCACTCTGATGTTTCTCTCTCTCAAGGTTGCATCCTGTTTTAGAGATGTAAGCAAAAGGAAAAATAGCTTTTTTTTTTAGTTGTTATCATTTTCAAAAAGGATTCATTTCGCATTATTCAACTTTTTTTTGGAATCTCACTGTTTAAATGCAAGACACTTTGTCCAAAACCAAACATTTTGTCAAGTGTTCTTCACAAAAAGGACCATAAACTGTAATACCAGTATTATCAGGGTTGTACCATGTTTATGTACTATTTTAATCTGTTTTCTTGCAATTTAAGTGTGTGGTTATCATGCATACTGCTTTATGACCTCATATTAATTGAGAGGTTAAATGTAATTATTATACATTTAAAATTAAACTTCACTAAAGCGCAGTAATATCTCCTCTTCACAGCTTAGCAAACATTCCCCTCACGCCAGAGACGGCGCGGGACCAGGAGCGGCGTATTCGGCGGGAGATCGCCAACAGTAATGAGCGCCGGCGCATGCAGAGCATCAACGCTGGCTTCCAGTCTCTGAAAACACTCATCCCGCATAGTGACGGAGAAAAGCTAAGCAAGGTGAGTCAGACAAACAGAAAGAGTGGAAACCAAGTGTTGAGAACCAGATCAACTGATTCATGGAAAGGGATGTATCAGTAGTGCGGATGTCAAGATTTTCAGTGAATATATATATATATATATATGGTCCATATTAGAGTCTTTTAAACCTATGTGATAGTTTTTTTTATGTGAGAAACAGACTGAAATATAAGCCATTATTCATTGCTAATCTTCACGTCTGCTTTTGTTGCATTGGAAAAATCTGCATGAACGCTTTTAACATCTGCTGAAGGTTAAACAGATTTGCGAGGGCGTGTATGTACAGTATTCGTTTTTTGGGTGAACTATTCCTTTAGATCCTACTCCTATGGATGTATCACTAGTGCGGATGTCAAGATTTTCAGTGAATGTATATATATGCTCCATATTAGAGTCTTTTAAACCTATGTGATAGTTGTTTTTTTTATGTGAGAAACAGACTGAAATATAAGCCATTATTCATTGCTAATCTTCACGTCTGCTTTTGTTGCATTGGAAAAATCTGCATGAACGCTTTTAACATCTGCTGAAGGTTAAACAGATTTGCGAGGGCGTGTATGTACAGTATTCGTTTTTTGGGTGAACTATTCCTTTAGATATAGATTTTATGCAAGTGTAGATGCCACCACAAAATTCATATGTTAATTGTTTGCTTTAGGTTTAAATGAAATCTGATTCATTCTCTTTTAATTTCTCACCGTTGTTACCATATGCTATACTTAAGTTAAACTACCATTCAAAAGTTTGGTTTTGGTAAGATTTGTAAACAATTGTTCTTGAAAGACGTCTCTTCTGGTCATCAAGGCTACAACAATTTTGATCAAAAATGCAGTAAAATACAGTAATATTGTGAAATATTATTACAATTAAAAAAACTTGTTTCTATTTGAATATATTATCAAATGTAATTTATTCCTGTGATCAAAGCTGAATTTTCAGCATCATTACTGCAGTCTTCAGTGTCACATGATCCTTCAGAAATCAGTATAATATGCTGATCTGCTGCTCAAGAAACATTATTATCCGTGTTGAAAACAGTCGTGCTGATTAATATTGTTGTGGAAACTGAGGTTTTGCCGAATAGAAAGTTCAAAAGAACAGCATTTATTTGAAAAAGACAGCATTTATTAGTCACTTTTGACCAAATGAATCCATCCTTGTTGAATAAAACAACTCATTTATTTAAAAAAAAAAAAAAGGTCCTCCTGACCCCAAACTTATAAGTGGTAATGTACTTACAGCATCTGTCACATAAGATGTTCAACATCACTGTGGTACATCATGCCAGTACATTCAGAGGGATGTAACGTGATCTTTTTCTCTCACAGGCTGCCATCTTACAGCAGACGGCTGAATACATCTTTTCTCTGGAGCAGGAGAAGACACGGCTGCTACAACAAAACACCCAACTCAAACGCTACATACAGGTGAAGCTCTTCATAGAAATATAATATCTTATCAATATAACAGATGGCTGTTTTGAGAACATTTGAGATCTTTATACTAGTGCTGGGCGGTATGACCAAAAATTTATATCACGGTATTTTTCAAAATTATACCAGTTTCACGGTACATGATGGTATTATTTTTTTTTCATGCATGACCGGGTGTTAACCATATTTTCTACTGATTGAGAGAGGAAATACTGCAGTATATTGACTTAGAATGCCCTCTTTTACTGTCATGATGAGTGAATATTGTCAAAAAATACCACATGAAATAGTGACTAAACACGACCCCTTTTAATACATGTTAACCAGGAGTCATCTGATAAAATCAACTTGCATCTACACTAAAAAGAGCGGCTCTATTACTTTTTTGCTCTGCCTGCATCTGAGTAACAAACTAAAAAAAACAACAAACAAAAAAGTGCATGTGATATTAACAGACGAACTACGCTCATATTTATAATTCCAAACAATCAGTAAGCGACAGGTGCTAGGAA